ATGTTTAGGGCTGTCCCTGGCGCCCGCCGGGAAGCAGCGGAAAAGCAGGCCTGTGGGATTTCTTGGGAGAAAGAGCAGGCCTCAAGCTTGAGGGGTTGTTCAAGCTGGTTTTTTTTCCACAGAAAGTGAATAAAAACTTTGTTTATAGCTTGGGTCTTGTCGATCTGAATGCCCTTGGGTGCTGCGTGTTATTAAAGAAGGTAGTAATTTCCTAATGTTGCTGATGTATTAACACATCTCTGTTTACTGACAGGGAAGCTGCACTGAGTCTTGTTTACTTGGATTTTGTTTCCTGTTTTTGAAAGTGTGCCAAGTGCCTCTTCTGTGGAGGTTGCCATACACAATCCCCTCTGTCCTTCTCGAGTCTGCTTTCCATCATGTAACCAGAAAACTGTGCCTTTTTGCTAGGCTTCTCTTGTTGGAGAGCCCTTCTGTAAGTGCTGCAAATAAAGCTGCTTCTGCCCCCTTGCCTTGTTGCAGATTGTGGCTGGAGTCAAGTATATAATGGAAGTTGAGATTGGACGGACAACTTGCCCGAAGCCAGCAGCTGATCTCCAGAGCTGTGCTTTCCATGATGCACCGCAGATGGCTAAGGTAGGCTCCAGGGCACTGTGTGCTGGCCCCTGGGTTTCCAGCCCCTTCCCTCTGACTGGCTTAGTACAGAGAGGCATGAGCAGTGTCCCCTGTCTGCCCCAGTCATGATCAGAGACCTCACGCCTTTGTGCTTAACAAGATGCTGCCCTTGCAGAACTTGTCTTGCCAGATGATGGTGACAGAGAAGGCAGGGCCTTCTAGCCTGTTTTGTAAGTGGGGATCTGAGGCTGTAGTGCATGGAAGACTGTATGTGCCTCAGTGCTCTTAAAAAATGCTTGTGGTATGGATCACATGGATATATGGAGAAAATTCTGCCAAACTTGCAGGTCTCCTGGCTCTCAGACCAGTATCCTGAGCCCCCATACCATTTTCAGTGCCTCTTGTCCGATGGTCATGTAAACATGCTTGGCTTGACACACTTTCCTGGGAGACTTGCATTACTGTGAATAGTGCTTTGGGCTAAGCACTGATTACAGGAGACAGATTACCCCCGTTCTCTGTGCCCATCAAGCTGTTACATGGGAGTCTGTCTAATAGCAATGCTCTTTAAGGAGTATGTTAGCTTTTCAGATGAGAGCACCAAATATTTTTGCCTTGATCTGGCCTGAGTCTGTTTCTTCAGTAGTATTTCATTACTTCTGTTAATCACAGTGACAGGCTTAGCTTCTCTGTGTACATGCCCTTTCTGCCTGAATGGATGAGAAGTGGAACCACACACAAGTGATCTGTTAAGCACTTAACTAGAAGCTTGTGTGTACCATTATGACAGTTGCAATGGCTTAGCACATACACATACAGATGAGCTGTGCAGGAGTGCTTACCTGTGCCTGAGAGCTTATGTTGGTGTATTACCCATGTTGAAAGCTTTCCTGCCTGTGAATGGGTAAAGGAGGTAAACTGATCAGAAGTGCTGACTGCTCAGCTTCTCTGTTAGCACTTATTTGAGAGGGATGATTGATCCTGAGCAGATACTAACAAGAGTGGTGTTCCAGAATACTAGTCCGAGTGCAGATCTAGGGAGCCATGGACATCATACATTCTGGATCATGTGGGGTAGTAAATCAATGTAGAACAGAGGTCAATGATGCTTTTGTGCTCTTAATCTGACAACTGCTTTTTTCTTTCTCTCCTTAGCACACCGTTTGCAAGTTTGTAGTGTACACTGTTCCTTGGCTAAACCAGATTAAACTACTGACCGCTGATTGCCAGTAAGCCTACCTTGGTTCCAGCGGAGACCAGCAACCAGTTGCTCAGACTTAAAGCAATAACACAAATTGAGATGGGCTTTATCAGTGCCTGTTAACTTGAGTACTTATGTATATGCTTGTGCTATGCAAGTTAAACTTTGTAACTCTCCTTTAAAGCACAGTATGATTGCAACTTTGTTTTTCTTCTTTGCAATTACATTTTAGAGCAGCGGTTTTGGTCTTCCTACAGCTTTCCCAATAAAGGAACTCCAACATCAGAATTCTGATTAAAAAAACCCCTAAACTTGGTATCCCTGTTAAGTGACTATTGTAAACATAAAAACCTAATTAATATTTGCTGTGATGTGTGTTTTTCTGTGAGCTTTTCCTGTCTTGGAGGATTTGCTTTTATGTGTGACCTTGTCTATCATGCCCAGTGAATGGGGTGAGAAGGAATATGGGGCCCTAATCACAGGGGATATAAGACATGCCTCCTTGTCCCTTAATCTAGCCTCTTGTTTTGTTTTGCATTTCACTGAAGAAATACTCTGCTTTTGAAAGCACTGCTATATGCAACACTTAATCCTGGGAAGATTAGCCAAAGCTTGTACCAAGGCTGTGATCGCTCTGTGTCCTGGATGCTATGCTGTTCTGTTCCAAGGCTGGTTGTGTTTATACAACTGTGCTGTGTAAGAATTAACCACTGCAGCATATTCATGCACTGCCCTTGAGGTGTGTTACTAACCCTTGCTTTCCATACATATGTTTTTTTGTGGTATCCCTAGCTTTTTGTGAGCGGAAGGCCTCAGGGCTTTCCTTTCAGTCCAAGCAGTAGCATGTCTCACTTCACTTATAACCTAAACTGTGACTGGTGGAGCAGGAGGGACAGCTGCTTCATCACGTGTGCCTGACCTGTGACAGCTTCTGTTTACAAGCAGAGATGCCTGCAGAAATGCGTGGAAGTGGATTGGTGGCAAGCCTGTCAGGGAGACTAAGCTGCACTCTGTATTAACTGGGAGGAATTTGAATGATGTCTGATTTGGGTGAATACCTTTAAATCAGCAGGCAGAGAGGAGCAGCACTCAAGAAATCTTAAGACAACTGGCTGAAGTGTTTCCTATTAAACTGGAATGAATTTGTACTGCAGAGAAATTGGGGATACTGTGCCTGCATGGGACAGGACAGATGACCCTGACACCCATAAGCTGAGGACAACCTAGTGCAAAAGCAAGGGGAAAGTTAGTAATTGGTGTTAAGTGAATAACTGATAAGAAAGAAAGAAATGTGTGTAGTTCTGTAGCAGATGGGCTGGTGTGAGCGTCACAGGGAAACACAGACAGCTCCAGGTCTAGGCAAAAAAATGTAGCTCTTCCATGTCCCAGAACCCAAGTGAAAGAGATGAGGAAGCTTCCCTGAGCAGAAGCCAAGTGAGTCTGGAGGTTGGGATAGTGCATAAGAGGGGTCTTCTGGTTTTTACTCCTGGGGAAAGACTGGCAAGAAGGAGCAGGATCCCCTTGAAAGAAATTTCATCTTCAGGTAATAGGGGAACGTACTAGGTCAAGAGAAGGAGTCTTGGGAGTGGGTGAAGGTGCTGAGGTGGACAATGGGTATTGTCCTTGTTTTGCATAATCCTAATAGTGCATTTCTTACTTTATCTCGTGTCTTTGCCTTTCTGTGTTTTGAAGTAAACATATTCCTTTTGGTTGGTTTAAATCTCCCCTAGGGATAAAGTGAGTCCAGTGCTATGTCACACCTTATGTTAATCCTCAATCCCAGGAGTCCTGTGTCCATGTCTGGTGGTCCTCTTTTGAAAGGAGAGTGGGAGGGGTGCAGAGAAGAGCTGCAGAAATGGTCAGATGCCTGGAAAAAGAATTTTGGGGTGAGAAGAGTAATGATACTGTTTATTCTTTGCCTAAAAAAATGGTATTTTGATGAGAGCTAACACAACCACATCTTTGGGTATGGGGGGGGTTCAGATCTGAAGGAGAGCAAAGCAAGCAAGTAACCAGAAAACAGGCTTGTGGTAAGAAATACAGCTCCCTAGGAGTGCATCTTCTGTGGACTGCTCTTCCTCCCAAGGGCGATGCCACTTCCCATCACTGCTGGGGTTTGATGAGCTTGTGGTGAGCACAAGGCCAGATCTTGATTGACATTGTTAGGGGGATGAGCTGGTTGCACGACACCAAGGATCTCCATCCAGGATGTGCTCAGATCTGATAGGAATTATTCCCCCTGTTTCCCCACCATCACTGCCCCATTCCCTCTGAGTGCCATGCATGAAGATGGCCCCTTGCCAGCTGGGTCAGTGACTGCAGGTTTCCGTCTGCCACGTCGCTGGGTGACCCTGCTGACGGAGGAAAGCCTGGTGCCAAGCTGCTCAGGTGCCCTCACTTGTCATTTTTCTAACTACTCCCTTCATTTGTGCATGTTTATTCCCTGTTTTCCAGTTTATCTATACAAGCAGTAGTCAGTGATGAAGGGGCTCTATGCCACCAAAAGGTGGGTTTGCCTGTGTTTGCCTTTTATCATCCTGAGTTGAGGCCTGGATGGATAATCGCACTGGTCTTCTTAATAAGGATACTAGGAGAGAAAGGAGTGTGCAGCGGGATGTAACCAGGCATTTCCACCACTTTAGCTGTATTTATAAGCCAGCAGCTCTGTACAGCATGCAGGAAAGAGCAGCGAGTTTGAGCTCCTGAATTCAGAGGTATTGCATTTTTGTGTTGAAATGCCAGGGACCAAGGGCATGAATGAATGGCACAGATTACCCCATCCTCACAAGCTGCTGAGTGTCAGCCTTGGTGATTGTCCCTGTGTGCTCTTCACTCAGAGCAAGTGCCAAAAAAGCCTGACCTAATTTAGTCACCTTCCACTGTGGACTGGGTTACTTCGCATTTGCAACAGGCTGAGAGTATTAGTGGAAGTTCTCCTGCCAAGAGCATCTTGCTTGGCAGGTCTTTCTGCTTGGCTGGCAGGTGGTAGCTCAGTCAGCTGAACACTGAGCCCTCATTTTTAGCTGCATTCACCACCTGACTTTTTCAAATGTCAGCGACAGACGTGAATGAGTGACCAGGGAAGTCCTTATTTCATGTTATCTCTTGTTATGCTTTGCTTGAATCTGCTGGATCGATTCTGGGTTCATGCTTCCTTAAACTTAGGGGGGTCAGAGCTTTGCTGCTGCTACAGATTATGAACCCAAAGCTTTTTTCTGGCTCTGGGACTCAAGGAGAGATTTAGGGCAGCTGGCTGAGAAATGTAGCTCTCCTTAACAGTGCCTGCACCTGCAGACCTGTACTCACATGGGCCTGTAACTCGCAGCTCTGTAAGGCACAGCTGAGACACAGAGCTGTGAAAGTCATCATGTTTATGGAGCTTGTGGGCATTACCAGTGTGCCACAACTGTGGCATGCTCAGATGAAGACAATGGGGCTATACTCTCACTAGCGTGAACAAGCAGAAGTATTGATCCCACCTGACCAGGGTGGCAGCTTTCAGCTTATCTGGCTTTTTTAAAAAGACCATCTTAGATGTGTGAGTCTGTGATAAAAAGCAGCTTTATCATGAGAACTGAAGAGCCGAGACAGTGTTGAGAAATGTGGTACAGGTTGCCTCTGGTTTTTTTACCTTACTTGGGGCCCTCACCCACACATCTCCTCTGCCCATGGTTCAAGACCTCATTTAAGCCTAAACCTGGGTCCTCTGTCCCTGTCTGAGCTGCATTAGGTATGTCCTTATCTCCTGCCCTGTGGCTGCTGCATGGGTCTTGGACCCACGTTGTAGCTTTGTCTCCCAGCCCCTTTTTCTGCTCCAGATTGGGCTTCCTGGAGGGACCCTGGTCCCGGTTCAGCCCCTTGCTGTGTCTGGGGCTGTTGATGGACCCTTTGGCTCTGCTGGCCACGCTGCAATCCCATGGGACTGTGCCCATTTGGGGAGGGCATGGCCAGTGCTGGAGACCCCCCAGCTCCTGGCTCATTCACTCCTCGTGCTGGTCCCTATGACCTGACCCTGCAGGGTCTTTCTGAGATTCTTGAAGCTGTAACAGCACTCCTGCCAGGTATGGACCACTTCCCTCTGCGCACAGCCTAAATTGCAATTTCCTGCAATTATGAAAGGAAATGATCATGTGAGGATCCAGGTTACCCTGCAGCCCTAGGGCTGGGCCACCCAGTGCTGTCATCAATGTGCGTGTGCTCAGGATGTACAATATTGCTTAGCCTAAGGCACAGAGACCTCTTAGTGAGTGTTTGAAGATGCTCGGTTGTTTGTATTTATCATTAACATGCAATGCCTTAGAATTACTGTAGTGTGGATCCTTCAGGAGATCAAATTTACTGATCAAACCTACATCTCAGTTTGAATCTTAGTGCTTTATTTCTTGATGATTACAGCGGAGAAGTAAGACTTCAGATCCCTTTCCTCACGGGATGCAATGGAGATCTGGAGATCATTCCTGCAGGGAAGGAAGAGAGTCCTAAGTTAGGTCACTGCTGACAATGATGGGCCCCTCCATGACTCTTGTTGCCCATCTTTGCTGGTGGCATGCTGGTGAGAAGGTGGGAGAGGAGGTGCCTGGTTCTTCTCTCCAGGCAGCATAGTTCCAGGCTTGGCAAGGAGGCGTGAGGAGGACTCTTGGTGCCCACCTGGCTTGAGTGAGAAGAGCAGCCAACCTGCAGGCTCCACAGTGCAAATCCCTGCTGTCCCCCTCTGACACAGGGCATGGCTCAGTGTGGAAGTGGACTCTGGGACAGGACCTGAGGCTCGAGGTGACACTAGCTAAAGCCTCTCTTCTGTGTCGTTACTCATGGCGTTGCTCCACCTCTGTGAGCTGGTAGGCTCCTGCTGCAGGGTTTTGCAACAGGGAAGAAAAGAAGCTACATCTTATTTCCATGATAAGCCAGCACATGGGTGTGTGCTGGGTGCTATTTCTGACCTTGCCAGAGGTGGGTGTGGGTATGTGCATGCATAGGACTGGCGATGGGGAAACTTTTCTCTGCTTCCAGCTGGAGAAAAAACACCAGTGACTCATGATGCCCTCATCGTAGCATGCCTTGCTGGGAGGCATTGTCCCCTCTTACCCACCAGCGGAGAAACGTCATACTTTGTGTCATGCCATCTCCACCCCTTTTATTTTAAGCACCCGGGGGTGATCTGGCTGTATCTGGGGTGAGGCCATCATCAGCAAGTGAAGGCATCTCCTCCCTGTGCTTACCTCCTGGCCCGTGTCTGCAGGTGGGTGGTGCTGGAGGTGGCTCTTGCTGCTCACCTTGCAAGCAGCCGTCCTGGCTGATCACAGCAACAGTCTGTAGGGGACACTGTGTGGCAACATCACTTCATCCTTTCCCCTTAACCTAGAGAATGACAAGGGAAAAAAGCAAAAGAAGCTTAAAATAAAATCTAGGTGTGTAAATGTTACATCAATTTAAAAAAAATTATGTGAGCAGATAGGAACCAATATGAGTGCAAAAAAGTGAAACTGTCTCCCTAAGTGACTCTTCTGAAGTGTGTGTGTGCATGTACTCTGCTTCAAGATGATCCCATAGATGAGCCAAACCCAGCAGGATCCTCACTGTCCTCCTGTGGCGTACAGGTACCACAAAGGACATTGTGCCCAGCTACAGAAGAAGAAACTGGGACTCAGGTCTGGCCAGGGAATTGATTTTATATCTTGAATACAAAAGTTAGCAAGAAAAGAGTGAAGTAGTGATGTTTACACTAAGTATACCCCTCTCCCTTGTCCTAGGTTAAGTTCCCCGATCTGTACAGGTGAGCAGTGGTTTTCTTCTCTCCTTACAGGGCCAAGGAGGTGTGTTGGGTTTGTGTGTGTGGTGGGATTTTTGATAGCAGGGGAGGGGGCTACAGCAGCAGTCCCCTGTGAGAAGCTTCTTGAAGTTCCCCTGGTTCCAAGTCAGACCCAGACCCACCTCTGGCCAAGGCTGAGCTATTAGCAATGGTGGCTGGCGCCTCAGTGATAATGTATTTAAGGGGAACCTGGGAGAAGTGGTGGGAGTTATGAGAAGTTGTGAGGAGAACATCTGTATGAACACTGAGGTCAGTGGAAGAGAGGAAGAAGGGAGGGAGGGAGGTGCACTGGTTCAGAGACCCCCCTGCAGCCCTTGGTGAGAGGGCAGGCTGTGCCCCTGCAGCCCATGGAGGTCACTGGTGGAGCAGATGCCCAGCTGTAGCCTGTGGAGGACCCCATGCTGGAGCAGGCAGCTGCACGCAAAGGAGTCCGGGACTCTGTGGGAAGAAGCCCCCACTTTTGTAGTTCAGCACTGGAAGGATTGCAACACACAGAGGGGACCCACGCCGGAGCAGCTTGGGAAGGACTGCAGCCTGTGGGAAGGACTCACGTTGGAGAAAGTTCATGGAGGACTGCCTGCCCTGAGAGGGACCCCATGCCGTAGCAGGGGAAGAGTGAGAGGAGTCCTCCCACTAGGGAGGAAAGAATGGTGGGACTGACTGCACGCCCCATTCCCTTCCCCCTGCACTGCTGAGGGGGCAGTAGGTAGAGAAATCTGGAGCAAAGCTGAGCCTAGGAAGAAGGGGGGGTTGGTGGGAAGATGTTTTTAAAATGTGGTAATACTTCTCACTGTCCTCCTCTGTTGAGTAGTGTTGTTGTTAATGTTTCAATTAAATTGATGTTTGTTTTCTTCCCCTAACAAGGCTGTCTTTTGCCCATGACAGTAATGGCTGAAACATCCCTCTCTGTCCTTATCTCGATTCCTGAGCCTTTTGCTTTTTTTTCTCCTTCCCATTCCTGAGAGGGAAGGGGTGCACAAGCGGCTGTGTGGTGCTCAGTTGCCCTCTGGGCTCAAACCATGACAGGAGGGAAGCCTTGACATCCCTGGAGAAAAGTTACCATCTCCAAGTGCCAGAAGTGGCTAAGAGCAGCCCAAACCCTGTGACATTAGCATGCGTGAATCCTCTTCATTCCCAGTAATGTTGCCCACCCTTGACTGCAGGGTGGGTGGTGAGATTACTACTGTCACCCTCAAAGACCTCCTGTGCAGCGACATACTGCCCTCACTTGTAATGAGGAAAGCAGGGACCACTTCTCTCTGAACATCTTCAACCCTCTGTTGTCTCTTGATTGAATTGCTGCAGTGATGAGTGTTGCCAGGCTGCAAATTCCTACATGACATCATCAATAAAGATGTTAAACAGAAATGGTCCCAACACCGAGCCCTGGAGAACACCATACAGGGAGCCTCCACATTTCTTCTGGGTGGGGCGGGGAGACCCCCAAGCAGAAGGCCACAGCTGGCAACCCCCGAGAGACCTTAGCAGCCAACAGACAGAATGCTCCCCGGTGCTGCCACCGCTGCAGCTCCCACTGCAGAGACACCAGCATCTTCTGCTTCAGCCTCCCCAAAGGCTCCCCAAAACCTTCTCTTCCTGAGGTAGGGACTGACCCCGACTCCTGCAGGCTGGGGATGCTCTGGGGAAAAGGAACAGGGGTGACCACCGGTTATCACTCCTTCCTCTCGCTCAGGCTTGGCCAACCTGTGCCCACTGCCCAGGCAGGAGCCTCACTTCCCCTGGCGGGGGGGGAGACACACCCTGGGAAGGATGGCACCCCCCCCAGCAGATACAGCCAGCTTGCCCATCGCCCCTCCAAGCAGTGAGTAGCCTCCCTCCTCTGACACCCTGGCCCACAGCAGGGGAGTGCCCCGGCCACAAGCTCCCACAGGCCTAGTGCAGACCCAGGGCACATTGGCAATGGGGGCCGGCTCAGCGGGTGCCCCTCGAGGGTGCCCATAGCCCAGCATGGCTCCACTCCCCCACACAGGGCTGCAGATGGCTCCCAGCAGCGCTGGCTTTCCCCCACCAGTCTCCCGCGGCTGGCGGATGGACACCATCCTGCCTCCACCAGCCACTGCCACGCTCAGCCCAGGCACCACTTCTCTACCAGGGGCTGCCCTATGGCGTGACTGCAGAACCCCCCTGGCCTGGGCAGCCCCTGGCACCCCCCAGAGCCAACCACACCACTCTAGGGGCAGAGCGGACACCCCAGCCCCTCCAGGGCTGCCAGCAACCTTCCCTGGCTACCAGTGCATGGAGAGGCACTTGGCACAGCTCAGCCTCTCCGGCACAGCCACCCCTGTGAGGACACCCCTGGGCACCAACAGCCCTCTGAGCAGCGACGTCCTTCTCAGCCCCTGGGCTGCTCCTCGCCACCGATGGCCAGGGGACACGGCGCTGCTCCGGGAGATGCTGCTGTGCTGCTCCCTGGCCAGCCACCACGGTCCCAGCAGTGGCCCCATGCCCGGGCATCCTGGTGGCACTGCCAGAGCTGTCCCCCGCCGTGACACCCACTCACTCGCGCTGCCCCAGGAGCTGCTCACGCCCAGCTACAGTGTCCCAGAGGCCAGTGAGGAGGACGCCAGCCTGAGCCTGCAGCACTTTAACACCATTGGGATGGGGCCCCAGGACCTGTGCTGGGACGTGCAGAGGGACCGGCCACTGCTCCGGCCTGCCATCTTCCAGCCTGACAGGGGGGACAACCAACACTGGGGCCAGCCTAGAAAAGCAGGGCCAGAAGCGCAAGAGCACCTGCCCATGCCCACCCAGCAAGCAGCTGGCACCGGGCTCGGAGAGAGGGATTAGACCCACCAGAGGGAAGAGATGGAGAGCGGGGGGGTGGTGTGGGGAGGGTGGATAGGAGCTGGGCCACGGCCTGCTCTGAGAAGCCAAGAGCTTGGAGGAGCATTTTCTTTCCTTTTTTTGTTTGTTTGTTTGTTTGTTCCCATTAAAAGCCCTTTTACCACAACCGCTCTGTGCCTCTGTGGGAGGGGGAGGGAGCCTGGGGGGGCACTGGGAAATGGCACCCAAGAGCTGCAAAAGTGCCGCTGAGCCCCAGAGCAGAGCCAGCCAGCCCCAAACGCCATGGGGACACCCCCAGGGCTGAGTCACCGCCAGCACCAGTGGGGCAGGTCATGGCTGGGGGGGCTCCACCGGTGCCTTCCCTAGGGAAAGCAGCACTTTGTCAGGGGACCCAGCACAGACGGCTCCTGCAGGACTCACAGACAGAATCACAGAATCGCAGAATCATTCAGGTTGGAAAAGACCCTTGGGATCATCGAGTCCAACCATCAGCCTGACTCTACAAATTTCCCCTCTACACCATATCCCCCAACATCTCATCCAAACAAGCCTTAAACACATCCAGGGATGGTGACTCCACCACCTTCCCGGGCAGACTATTACACTGTCTGACCACTCTTTCTGTAAAAAATTATTTCCTAATGTCCAGTCTGAACCTCCCCTGTTGCAGTTTAAAGCCATTCCCTCTTGTTCTATCACCTGTGAGAAGAGACCAGCACCAACCTCTCTACAATGTCCTTTCAGGTAGCTGTAGGGAGTGATGAGGTCTCCCCTCAGCCTTCTCTTCCTCAAACTAAACAGTCCCAGATCCTCCAATCGCTCCTCACAGGATTTGTTCTCCAGGCCCTTCACCAGCTTTGTTGCCCTCCTCTGCACTCGCTCCAGCACCTCGACATCTCTCTTGTATTGAGGTGCCCAAAGCTGGACACAATACTCCAGGTGTGGCCTCACCAGTGCAGAGTACAGGGGGATATCACCTTCCTACTTCTGCTGGTCACACTATTGCTGATACAACCGGGATGCTGCTGGCTTTCTTCGCCTGCTGTTTGCTCTATCAATGTTGTAGTCGTGGGCTGAGCAAGGTGCAAGATGAGCCGTGCCAGGACCCATCCTGAGCAGCTGCCCAGGGAAGTTCCTACTTCTGGGTAGCAAAGACCAAAAGCACAGTCCTTTTCTCCCACACAGGAGCATCGGGAGACTTCTGTGGTTAGTGAGCCTGGTGTTAGCTTGTTGGTGGCCAACAAAGCTGGATGAAGCAAACCGTGCTGATGGAGAAGAGGATGGAGAAAAGTTTGGCTGGGCTTTTTGCAAATGCAGCCATGATAGTTCTGAGCACATCTTCTCCAGAGGAGAGGGGGCACCAGAGCCATTTGAAAAGATACTCTTCTCATACCATGTGGCAGCTTGTCCTGGTAAAGCTGGATGTACCAAGCTCTGGTTGTGCAGAGGTTCGTTTTGGTGAACTTAAGGGTCAGAGGGCTTGTCCCAGAAGGGATGTCTGGGGACTCTTCAGGAACAGGCTCCCCTCAAGAAAAGCAGTAGCCTATAAAATGAAATTAGCTTTGGACCTCTGAGCATGACTTGGCTGGTCAGATTGGCTAATTACACTGACCTTTCCTTGTTAAAAGTCATGGGGCTTGTTAAGATGACTACAGATTTTTAATTACCTATTTTTCCTCCTCGAATAGTAGGTCTTTTCACCACTTTCTGTGTTAGCGGGATAACAGATAACAGTGGAAATGTTTTTCCTATTCAATCTGACACTTTGTCCATCTCCTGCACACCCCAGGTAGCTCAGTGAAACTTATTTCTTCTGCAAAATGTTGGGAGAATAATGAAACATAATGTTTCCATGGATCTGACATGCTTTCTGCCCAGCTGGCGTGCTCAGAGGCTTTCAAACAAAATTGGCTTTGGGATTTCAGTTTGATAGGAAGTTGGAGAACTGGCAAGAGACTTTTTTGCTCTGTGCTGTTTTAAACTTCTCTCTCCCAAATATAGCAAATGCTTCTTGCAGATGCTTGTACAGGGAAAGCAAGAAGCAGTGGAATTCAGATATTAGAGGGAAAGGAGCAAAGACATGCTTTCAGCAATCCAGCACAAATCAAGACCTCTCAGAAAAATCTTGTTTTGACCTCTTCATTGCCACATCTAATGAGAATAAAGAATGCCTGCACTCACTGGGGGAAGCAGCTGCTGTAGAGAAACACAGCCGGCAGCACAGGATGGTGGAGCTGGATATTAATCCTCCAAGCAGATGTCATGAGGGTCCACTGTGCCTGGAGCTGCACAGGGGGAGCCAGTGTGGTTTGTACACATGGTGGGACAGGCTGATGTGCAGGCAGGGCTCATAGGAAGAAGGGCTGGTCTGTGCTTCAGTCTGGTACAATAGGATTCTACAAGGGGCCATGGCTGCCGTAAACCAATTTTTTCCAACTCGTCACAAAGATTGTCAGCTCAGTACTAACTGCAGAGCTTCTCAGCTGATAGCAGGGGGGACGTGGGAGGGAAAATGCCTGACAGATTTTCAGATCCTCCACCTCAGTTTGTGATGCTGGCAATTAGAAAAAACCAGCATCCTCTGGCTATCAACAGAGCCAATTCGATTGGGAAGTAGTGAGTGAGAAATTAAACTTTGGCCCCAGAGTCACATGTTTTAATCACATTTCAGATATCTACACATTTTATACTGGATGCACTGAAATTGGCCTATTTGTCCTCAGAAAGGGAAAAGCGCTCAGTGCTTCACCAGGAAGGGAGAAAGGAAGATGACCACATTACCTCCCCATATGTTGGCTGTCTGGAGAGCGTCCAGTCAGGACCGATGCTTGCTGCACTGTACAGGGACAGCACGGGGACTGCCAGGCTGGTGCAAAGCCATGTCTCAGGCATGCAGACTCCAGCATCCCTGCCCACTCTGGGGGTGATGCTCATGATAAAGCCTGGTGTGGAAGACAATTTTCAATCTAAAGTAATACTGTGCTTTACAGTAAAGTGACTTGCGCAATAAAGTGACTTGCCTGGAAATGAGCCTGCCTCTGGGCCTGTGCTATAAGCTGCATGTCAGACAACATTTTTAAAATTATTTTTTTAAGAGGATTGGAGAAATCTGTAGCACTTCAATTGTCCTTCAGGCACTTTAAAGAAGCAGTGCTGACTGGGTGCTGCTGAGAGGAGACCCGTGAAAGGGCTGCAGCACCTGGTGAGCATCCTCTCCCCTCCTGGTGCCAGCAGGGCCATGTGTCACATCCCACTCAAATGAGGGAGACAAGTGACTTTTAGATTCGTAAATCCCCAGGGGAATGGACAACAGTGAGACAATCCTCAAAGCCCAGACATTTATTAATTTCCCATAATGTAATCATTTGATACATAATAATTGACTAGGTATATAAGGAATTAAGGCAAGCGATATAGTATCCATTGTGTTGCCTTATGAAAATAAGGAAAAAGGGAAAAAAGAAAAGAAGAGAGATAGAGAGAGATCACCAGTCCAGGCCTCTGTGTCAGTCCTGCCAATGAAGGTTCAAGGATGTATCCATCTTCTTCGCTTCACTTCACTTCCTTTTCACTCCTCACCCCCTCCTCAATATATAGACACTTTCCTTGGGTTCGTCCCCTAGGCTGACCTACCTGTGTATCACATATATGGGGAGGAGTAAGGTGCTTCATGGGATGATGTAAGTAGCATGATCTTGTTAATCTTCATTAGCATATGCAGGGGTGTCAGCTTTTATATGCATTTCATGGATAATGAAGCAAAGGTCATTCACCGGACAGATGGCCCTTGAAACTTTACAAGATGCACCAGAGCAGAACCGTCCTGTCTCCACAGGGTTCCCTCCCCCAGCTGCATCCTATGCTATCCAGGCAGTCTTATCAGCTCCAGCCTCCACATTATCCACCCTGTGACTATAGCTTCATTACTTATGTTTGAGACATTCCTCACCTTGCAGGGCCTCTGCTTCCCACTGTCCCTTATGCCTCTCAGGCTCTTTTTACTTGCAGGCCTGTTTCTCTCAGGCCCTGTTTTTGGGGAGTTACGAGTCATCTCTCACACCATGCTAACCCAGTTGAGCTGGAAAGCAGGGACTGGTCCTGGGGATGACTCCTGTCAGTGAACCCTGTGAGTGGTCATGGGGCTGGTGTCTGCTGCTTCACCCTGACACTGCCCAAAGCACACGCAGCCAACACAAGAGCTGTGGCGGGAGGCCTTGCTGTCTGGGGGGGCTCCCAGTGCCTGGGACTGGCAGTGCAGGCAGCAAAAGTTCTTGCATTGGGATGGGTTCCCAAATCCACCTGAAGCCACAGAGATTTTTTCAAGCCTTTCATTGAATCTTGTGTTTGGTATCCATTGTTGGGCCAGGTGATGCCCTATACGAGGGGCTGTATGTCACCTGATGAGATGTCTCTAAGCACTTTCGTTGTTCAAGCACCTCTGAAACTTTCATGTGGTGCCAAAGTACCTGCTGTGAGAGGAGCAGGGCACTGCAGAAACCCTGCTTTGGCCAGCAGAGAGGTATAGACTGGACCTTGGTCTGAAATACTGACAAAAGCAAGCAAGGTTTATATTTTTATTTTTGCTTTTCTAAGTTTTATTTTTATTTTATAGGGAATGTTGTGGGAATATCTACCTTTAGAGAAGACGCTGTGTGATGGGGACTGAAACCAGCCCATAAGCTGCAGACGTGACCACAATGTCCCTCTGCTGACATTTGGGGTGCTCTTTCCTGGGCTTGATCATCACCATCTGCATTTTCGGGGGATATCTGTATTGTCTTGTGGGATGCTGTCTCACAAGTCCTCCTGAAAAACAAATAATGTCTGATCATTGCACTTGTGTGTCCCAGGGCTGAAAGAACGAAAAAGGCACTGCTGCTGCACAAAGGCTGGAAGAAACCCCGCTCACTCCTTTTTGTGGTCTGGTCTGGGCTCTGCTCTGCACCAGGGCTGCAGGGCCCTCTGTGCTTCCTCCTGTGGGGGGGATGCTGCCTGTGCCAGCACAGCATGGCAAGGTCTGGTTTGCAGAGTTGTCTACCCTGAAGAGGTCAGCTTCAGGGAGATGAGATTATGCAGGTTCCCTTTGCTCATGCCCTTTGGGAAACACTCACAGTCTCTGTTTTCAGAGAGCAGGACAAGGATGGAGGACTGCTCTTTGCTGCAAACCTCTGGGTTGGGATCTATGTGACTTTCCCTTTTGGTAATTGCTCAGATGTGCTTGACATTGGGTTGCTGAGGTTGTCAAATCCTGCATGCACAGAGCCTGTGATGGGACTTGTTTGGTGGTTCTTGCCTCCATAGGAGACGTGCTATGAGTAGAAGGTGATGCTGTGGTCCTTTCCCACTTTTATGTCTCTACTGATCTTCAGAAAGGTGACATGGCATGGTTAACAGGGAGGAGCAGGGCAAGGGAAAGTAGTGGATGAATTTCCAGCAGTGTAAAGTGGTCCCAGATACATGGGACGTGCTAAGAAGTAAAGCTTTCCTTTCCCCAGTGCTGAGCTAATGCTCTCACCTCTTGCAGCCTTGTATGTGTAACCTGAAAGTGTTCCACAGGGGGTCACCATCTCACAGGGGGATGCAGTACCGGACTGGGGATGCAAGGAAGGCTGGTTTCTTATCCTTAGCACAAGCAAGGCAGAGCCAGGCATCTGCTACAACCCTGTCCCTTATCCCAGCAGGTATATGTTCACTTCCTTCCAGGTGCCTTCCGGAGGAAGGTCTGATACAACCTGTATCAGATATTTTGCTTTGATCATCCAGGCACAAAAGGGACTGACACTGCTTCAGTCAGGCCCTCAAAATCCAGGATGTCCCAAACAGATGCTCTCCTGCAGGATCATCACCCATTTTTGCAGCTCTTTGCCTAGATATTTCCATTGCCAACAGATACCTCTCAGCACCTTGTCTCCAGGTGGTTCTTACACTGAAAGAAATTATTTTAATGTTACAACCCCATCTTCTTGTCATATTTCTGAGGATAATTAAGCTGTTTGTGTAAATGTGAAGGGCAAAACCACATGTATCTGTCCCTAGGTGGGGAAGAGCATTTATCACATTCCTTTAGATCCAGATAATTCTTGAGTCTTCAGTGCTTCTGAGTTTTCTCCCCATCTTTTGAGGAATGCTGATATGAACATACATGTCTTCCACAGCTGTATGCCCCGAAACATGTTCTGTGCTTGTGATTTGGGGCTTAGCATGCAGCAGCCTTCAAAAATGCATGGTGTGTTGTGAGCACATTCTTATTCATCCACTCAGACAGGAGCAAGGAGAGATCGCCCCATCTACATTCCAGGCAGGCACAATCAGCCATGCCTGCTGGTTCAGAGGCATGGTTTATCTGAGGGACATCAAATGCCAATGCAGCCAGCAAACTCCTCCTGTGACATGCATTGAGACTACAGAAGCAGCCCAGGAGCAAACACAGGGCTTTCCTGTTCTGCAGCACCTTCGGCTGTGATAGTGGCCAGAGCCCGCACTGGGCAAAGGGCTGTGTGCCCTGAGTCAAGAGTTTTATACTGATGCTGTAGCTGGATCAGACAGAGATGTGGGAAAGTGAGCAGGGAGATGCCTTGTCCTGCACCTCCCCACTGCTCAGTGGCAGAGGGGCTTGTGTGCTCATTTTTTGGTGCTAGGTTGTTGAGTGATTGTATGTGGATTTGTTTTGTTTGTTTTGTTTTTTTCTTTGTGATTTCCATTCATTTTGCAATAGAAAATATGTTTTGCTAGACAGCCGAGATGTGACAAAATTAGTTGCAGAGCTTTGATCATGCTTCTGCGAGCACAGGTCCTGAGGCTGTGTAAGCAAGCGTGAGAACTGGGATATTGAAATACGTGCATCCTTGACCACAGATTCTCCATTGCCCTCCTACCTGGCAGGTGCTTGGAGAAGCAATCAAACACAAAGACTGACAAATTGCATTTTCAGCTGTTACAATTTTTATACAAATACCAATATAAATGTTTGTGGGGAGAGGCTATGAACTTTTCTGAGTTCTGCTAAAAGTGTTATACTGGAGAGATGTCATTGTGATTAGCTCCTCAGGAAAACCAGGCTCTGCATAAGAAAATATTCTCTTTTGTTGGTGAAATAATTCATTGTTTTTTAATATGTTGCTGTAAGAAAAGAGGCAGAAACTGGATGTTTCTCCAGCATGATCAACAGACTGCAGGTGTTATAATATATTAATGACAGATTA